GCTTAGAGGGAACATTGCTCCTGGCCCCAGCAGCCGGAGCTCTGAGCAGCCTTTGGCCTGGGGCGGCAGGGGGCGGCGGCTCCCTGTGCCCTCGGGCCTTTCCCAGGAGGGAACTGCGGAGGGTGGCAAGCTGGGGGGGGGAGGGGAGGCCTGTAGCACCTCTGTCGCTGGGGGGATGGTTGGGCTCTCTGGGCACTCAGTGATGCTCCTGTCTTCTTCCTTCTGCCAGCAGAACAGCGTTGCGCCATGCACGGCCCCCCCTCTGCCTGCGTGGAACGGGGCAGTCCAGGGCGCCCAGCTGCCGTTGCCAGGTACGCTCCAGGTGGGGCTCCCGGGACAGCCGGGCAGCGTGGTGGGCGGGGCTGGAATTGTGGTGCCTGGCCTGGCCGCGTGGCGGGATGGCACCTGTGGGGTGTAACCAGCTGCTCTCTTCTCCCCACCCCCCTCCTCCGACCATGGGGGAATGCCAGGAGGCAGACCCGTAGCCAGCCGCAGCCCGCAGGGAGGGCGGCCTCCGGGCTCCGTCACCATCACCAGACTGAAGGCCCCCCCAGTGGTGCTGCCGTCAGCTGTGCAGGCCCCGGTCAGGTAAGGAGGGGGAGCTGTATGAACCTGGGGCTGTCTGGGTTGCGGGGGGCAGGCGAGGCCCAGGGGGCTGGCGAGAAGCAACAGCTCTTTGGGCGGGGCTGAGCCCGGATGCAGAGCTTCTCAAACTGGTGCTGCCTAGATCAAGGCGAGTGGCCATGTCAGTCTGCCTGCAGCAGCAGAAAAGAGCCAGAGTCCAGGAGCACCTTCAAGACTCACACGATTCGGGGCAGGGGAGGAGCTCTCGTGAGTCACTGCAGTCACTTCTTCAGATAGATCATGATGAGTGGTCGTGTCAGTCTGTCTGTAGTGGGAAAGAGCAACAGTAGCACCTGAAAGACTGACCAGATTTGTGGCAGGCTATGGGCTCTCGGGAGTCACTGCAGTCACTTCTTCAGATGCAGCTAGAATGGGAGTCTGTCTCTCCTCTGTATTGGAAAGGGGAGGGATTTCAGATGCCAAATGACATTAGCAGGCAAATGACAATAGCAAGTGTGATTGGATTGGGTGTGATCTGCAGAGAGGCAGTAGGTGTGGGGAAATTGGCATTGGAGACAGGAAACCTAAGTCTCGATTGAGTCCAGGTGGATGCAGTATCTTGAGCTTCGTTATCAGTTGCAATTCAGCAGTCTCTCTTTCTGATCTCCCTCTGAAATTCCTTTGTATGACAACTGCTACTCTTCGGTGGGCAGCTGAATGTGCTGGGAGGTTAAAATGCCCCCCCACTGTCTTTTGAAAGTTGTGGCTTCTAATGTCAGACTTAGGTCCATTAATTCTTTGTCAGAGGACTGGCCTGTTTGTCCAGTGCAGAGGGTGGAAGGGCAGTGCTGACCCGTGACGGCATAAATCACATGAGAGGATGAGCAGGAGTCGGAACCTGAGATGGTCTGGCTGATGTTGCTGGGCCCACCGAGGGTGCTGCTAGGAGAGCAAAGTTGGCCTCTTGGTTTGTTGCAGGCCTTGACACCAGAGTCCATGTTATGGTTAAGTAGCTTGTCATTGCGGGTGGGTTGTTGTTTTAGGTTAGCAGGCTGTTGGTTAGCAAGAAAAGGGTCACACTCCCCCCCGTGCCTGTGTGAGGGAAACATCACTATCCAGCACGGGTTGTGGGCCGTGGGTAATGTGCTGGACTGGCTTGAGTGGGGAGCTATATCACACACACCCCGTCCAGTCGCACCTCCTACTGTCATTTGCCTGCTGAAGGCATTTGGAATCCTTCCCCTTTCCAGTGTAGAGGGCAGACGGGCTCCCCTTCTAGCGGTGTCTGAAGAAGGGAGCCAGCGCTAGTCGTACTCTTTCCTGCTGGCGCTGCTGACAGAGACCGAGGCCCCCCCCCTCGGTTGCAGCACCTGCATCTGCCTCCGCATTGGAGAGGCCCTTTCCCGCCTGTCCTGCTCCACTTCCTCCCTTCGCTTGCTGCTGCTCCTCGTCTCTTCCTCCCCCCACAAGACCGCCCCCCCCCCCGGGGCTTGACAGGCGCTGTGCTTGGAGGGGGGGGGATGCACGGAGCTGGGTCTGT